TGTTGTTATGTATTATATATATATATATATATATATATGTTTGTGTGTGTTTATCTATATATATATATATATAATGTGTATATATTCTTATATACATATTGTTATGTATCAATCTCTAATTTCGCTAAGCAGCTTTAAACAAGTGCAAGTTTTTATGTAATGTCGTTTCTTGAAACCGTATATAAGTGGCTGCTACTGAACACATGGGCGTGGGGACTATTGTATGTATAATAGGGAAGTTGTAGTTCGTGTAGGTGGTGTAGAGACGTAAATGAAAAGATGTCTGTTCATAATGGCGGTCTTCATATAATCGCTTTCTTGGAATGCAAGCACTTGTGAGGAGAGGAATCAGTTTTCAACTCAAAAGTGATTTGACTCCACAACGTACTTTAAGGTTATGTTCTCAGTTGTGTCTTCGGATACTCACTTATTTTTTTGATGTGTGAACGTTCTTATAGATTACATTCTATAGAACCTTGCATGCTCCACATATGCTAGTGTGTGAACGTTCTTATATATTAAATTCTATAGAACCTTGTATGCTCCACATATGCTATATCTTTGCGTGTCTACAAGATCTGGCACTTGCTTAACCAATTCTGTCACGTATGCTCACTTCTAGTACGCCGTGTGTGCCTTCGTATGCCCATGGCATGACATCAGTACAGTTTCTTTGCTGTGGAACGAGTTGTATAGTCCCGCTCGTTGTCAATTTTCATGACTCACTAGCTAGTGGTTAACTCTATTTATCAAGACGGGATGAGGCCTATAGCCTTCGTGGTTGTTCTGGACAGGTAGCCTCCTGCCTAAATAATGCCAACTTGCGGTTATAGTTATCTGTTGCCCCTGAGATTCATTCAACTGACTTTCTCCAGCGGCAATCGCTCTGTTCTCATTGGTGACTAAAACGAGAACAAAGTTGCTGGGTCTCGCACTTGCATCACCAACCCATCCATATACCATTACTTTCCCTACTCTGATACACTTCTAATATCCTTCGCTATCGTTCCATATTAAAAGTCTAAGTTCCATATCGTGCCATAACAAACGTCTATAAGTCTAAGTTCCATATCGTCCCATAATCGACGTCTATGCTATTTTATCATACCACTCAGGCGAGGACAATATCAGGCGTAGACCGAAATCCGAAGGCACTCCGAAGCTTGTAGGAGACGTCGAGAGACCACCAGCACTGGGAAGCAGGTATATGTCATTCGATAAGCTCACATCGAACGACAAGGAACATATGCGGCAACGCCTGGAGGACGATAGCAACAGTGATCCCGATGCAGACGGCAAACAGAGGCTGAGCAGGAATAATTCGCCCACCCTGGGGTATGTCTGAGCGGACTAGCGGAATTCATACGTGCAAGTGTTTATTGTATGTATGTTATTTATTTACCTTTGCATGGATTCCTATGGAGCGAGGGATGCTCAATCTACGCCTGTATAGGCTGAAAACTGGCGAAATCCCAGCATCATTGCAAATGTGGATTTGATTAAAACGCCATCACAGTTAATAGAAACCTTGGCCATGGGTCTGGTCAATTTTGTTTTGTGTTTTTTCGGGGAATGAACACTGGACCTTCTGATTTCTACCAATGGTTTGTGATGGTCAGCGAACTAACCACAACCGACTTCATATTAATACGAACCAATCCAATCCAATACAATACAATACCACACAACCCATTGCAGAGACGGGGACGTGTCCATTGCCGATATAGAAACCACGAATCATTCCATTGTGCGCAAGTGCGACCAAATTGCCAATTCGTTCGTGGTGGTCGTGTGGCTGGACAACTTTGACGATTACGTCTTCTTTCCGTTTAAGGTATGTTTCCGAACTCGCAGTAAAGGCCGTGCTACCTCTCGGAATACACGCCTTCCCTCTACCTAACATACATTTTCCAAGAGCATGTGTACACTGGGCGAGGCGGAATTGTATAGGACGCCTCACCGTCGTACGCTCTAGTGCCCCAACATGACAAATCAGTCCCATCGCTCAGCCTTCTCGAATATGCTCCACACGCTATATATCCCTCGCAGGATAATGAGAAGCTTCGCCTGTACGTACACCCATTGCCCTCTGGTCTATTCCGCATCAAAGTGGAGAGTGCGGTTCTGGAAGGTCCGTTGTTCGATGGAATGATTGTGAGTCGGTCAGTTCTGGGGCCTTTGATGAGGCAAACAGCACTCAATGCGCTAAGACGCAAAAGGTTAAATACAGAGAAAACTGGTAGTAGAAGAGAGGAAGATGTTGCCAGGTGTGCCTTTTGTTGTGGTTGCTTTTTGGAGAGATTGAAAAATAAAGGTATTTAGTATGCATATATATATATATATATATATATATATATATATGTGTGTGTGTGTGTGTGTGTGT